CACATCCACTGTTTTTTGGGCTCAAATATGCTAATTTAGTTTTGATGCTGCCTGTTACTTTGAGTTGCTTTGCTTTATTAGTGAATAGTAAATTTTACAGTTTTCGTTTGTTTTTCACTGCAATTTTTGTATAAACTACTGTATTAGGGATCCATAAATTCTCACTGTTACTCTTTCCATTTACCATTTTTGTCTGTTTCAAAAAGTATACATTTCCTTTCACCCACCACCACCAACAAACCCAATCTATATTGCTCTTTCTATACTTCTTTCTGCTTGCCCTTCCCTCCTCCTACAAATCCAAAACACACACATTTAATTCCCACTTCCCACCTTCTTTCTCTGGCCACCCACTTGCTTTTAGCAACTGGTGAGTTTTCCTTAATACCTGCTGCCCATCCTACCCACAGTTCCACCAGGATAACTAAGAATCTCGTACATATATCCTATTACTGCACTACATCCCATTCTTATTGTTCTCTTTGGAATGCATGCTCATTCTGTAAGACAATAAAATCTACTGCCATTCACGATCTTCTCATCTCACATTTCTTAAACCTCTCATCATTGACTGAAATCTGTATCTCTCGCTCTGACACTGCTATCCCTGTCTCCCTGTCCTTTTGTACTGATTGTATTTATCCCACTCTCCCAGGACATGTGATGCTGGGGGGGGGGGGTTTACTCTCCCTTCATTATTCATTGACCTTTGTCCCCTCATTATTTTACTTCATCCGTCTCTTCAATCCTTTCTGCCATTATATTCTGTCCCCCAGGCTCTCCCCTGTTTCCTTAGCGTTTATCCATTTTTGTGTTTTCCTCTCCTCTACTTTTCCTTGACAATTTCAGCTTGGCCTCTTTACATTTTATCGTCGGACTTTCTTTCCATCATCTTTGGCTATTTTAATAACTTTTTTTTACCAACCTAACAACTCAATAGGCTCTGTATTTCTATCTGTCATCCTATGGCACACATAGATACATAGCTGTTGATACCGTTGTCCTTGTCTTTTCTAGACTTTGCTCTGTTTATAACACATCATCTTAGCTTCCTTGATTTGATTCACTTCTTGTCCTTATCCTCTCTCTAGTCTCCACTTTCTCCTCCTCAACTATCTTCTATCCCTCACAAGCTACATCAGACTACAGTTATGTATTGTCTACAGCTTTAGATAATGGCTGCATTAATTACATCTCACTCTAAGTGCCAGCCACAGCAAGCTCATCTGCTATCTCCAACGGTGTTCCTGTCCTGGCGAATGATGTTGGAGAAAGTCTTGGACCACAGCTGACTTTTTACATAAAAATGTATGCTACATTCCTATGCTCCCTATACTATTGCTTGCCAATCAATAGTATTTCACCTCTCTCATCTGCACCTACTCTCATGATCTCAAACACCTTTTTCATATCTTTAGCTCTCTATTCCACACCACTGTAATGCCACTATTGACTAATCTCACAGCTAGAGATTTTTCATATTGCTTTACTGACAAGATTAACTAAATTAAGAATTCAATTTTACCTATTTCCTCCTCCCTTCCAACCTCTTAGCTTCCATTCTGTTTCCTCTTAACTCCTTTTCCCCGTCTCTAAACAAGAGGTCTCAAGACTCTTCTATCCTCTCACCCCACCACCCGTCCTCTTGATTCCATCCCCTCTTACCTTATCCAATTTCTTTTCACTAGACAGGTACCATACATAACACATATTTTCAAGCTCTCTCATTCTTCTGACATCTAATCCTCTTCCATCAAAAATTCTATCTTAAAAAAGCCATCTTTTCTCCTTCTAACTACCATCCAATATTACTACTTTCCTTCACTTCTAAGCTTTTTGAGTGGCTTGTGTTAACCTGTCTAACTAACTCTCCCAAAACTAACTCCATCCTTGGCCTTTTTCAATCTGGCTTCCTCTCCCTCCATTTTACTGAAACTACCTTTAATTAAGTGACTACTGACTTAATCTCTGCTACATCTAAAGGTCATTACTTTCTTGTTCTTTTCCTTGATCTCTTTGGTGTTTGTATACTGTTGACCACTCTCTTTTTATTTAAACCCCCCACAACCTCGAGTTCAGTGACACTGTACTTTCCTTGGTTTTATCCTATCTTTCTGAATGTTCATTAAATGTTTCCTTCTTTGGCGCCAACTTCTTCTTACTACCCATTTCAGTTGGTGTTTCCTAATGATCTGTTCTTGGTCCTCTTTTATTTTAATTTACACAGCCTCTCTGTGTAACCTTATTAACTCTTTTGGATTTTAATATCAGATTTCTCTCTCCTCCCCTGACCACTTCTGGAATGCATCACAAACTGCCTCTCTTTTATCCCTAACTGCATGCATTCCTGATTTCTAAAACTTAATCTTTACAAAACTGAACTCCTTATCATTCTCCACCTCCATCTATCTCCCTGCACATCACTGGGACACCTATTACTCCAACCCCTCAAGCTTGCTGCTTTGGAGTGACTGTGGACTTATGTCTTACCTTTTCTCCTCACATCCACTCTGTCTCCAAATGTTATGAGTTTGCCTTAAAAATATTGACGTGTGGGGAGCCGAACCAAGCAACCAAGCAGGCCAGACGTGTTAGGAGAGAGCTCCCGCGTCTGGGGACAAAATATGGGGAATTACACCCAGCTACCACTAACCACAAGCCGCAGACTAAGAGCTTCACAACTGGGAGGGGCTGTTGCACAGAACGGTACCTCCCCCAAACACCGGCGCAGCCGACTGAATATATCGGGGCCTGCGGCCTACTCACGACTGAGCCACGAGGAGACGGCCACTCCGTGGGCACAAGAGTGGGGAATGGAACCCCCGGGAAAAGTCTTTCCCCCACCCTGCAGGACCAGTGGGGGTTATCCTGGTCCACACATCAGAGCAGAGAACACCCAACAGAGCGCTGCATTAGGGCATGCGGCAGACAAGCGAGAGCCACGAGGCCCGATTAAAATGGCCGAAGGCTGCATTGCCCAAGCACAGCAACAGACTTCCATCGACTGGGAGGCAGCCTCCAACGCAAGGTTCGAAGCCATGTGGGAGCAGTTCTGGGCCAAACTAGCACACAAGCATTGGCTACCTCAGCCACCAAACGTTGGGAAGAAGTCCAGACTACCTATGGCACGACAACCACCGTGGACAACCCACGACCGGGACCAAAAAACAGGTAACATACTTGCAACGAGCCACTGCATCTGAGAGACACGCACCCACTACTGTCCATGGGAGCCCGGGCAAGCAAAGAGACCTCGGCAACACCTCCGCGAGGGGGAATAGGCCCCAGCAGGCAGGCCCCAGCAGGATCGACGCATTGGTACCCGAGACTGCATACCGCACACCACGGATGTGAACCCACCCCAGCAGACTGCACCGCAGACACCCGTGGCAAAACCAGCTCAACAGAGCTTCAACAGATACTCCAAGCGGCGCCCTCCACTTCAAAAGTACGGGTCACACAATGCAAGCGTTGACAAAAAGGGATGCCGGCTTGCACAACCACCCATGCTGGAGACATCACACAACCTGACAGCAATTCCAGCAACGATGCAGGTACACGCCAAAACTCACAGAGACAGCACCACCCGGAATACACACCTGCCCACCCTAAGCTTCTCGAACCGGGGCATAGGCTGACTGTTCACTTGCATAGCAGGGTAGTTTCACCATGCGTACCATGGACTTACCGATCCGCGGCTGTGGACACCCGGTCCCATATGGATTATGAAACTAACAAACATTTTGACCTGCCACGTATGTTTATGATTTTTGTGCTGTTATTTCTATTTTCTTTTTTCTTTTACTATGCGCAAACTGTCTGGTAACTCACCTGTTGGCTGACATGCGCAAGAGAGCGCCACTGCACTCACTTGCTTAGAGACCCAGTGACTCTCGCTCTCATAGTCCAGAATCGATATGCCTACTTGACAGATTCTTAAAGCACCACGACACCCTGGACTGTGTAATAATGTTACCACACATTGGAAGCAAGAAATAGCGTTGTTTACTGTTCTCTGCTACATCATAGCCTATACCAGAATAGCGCAATCTGTCTACACACTACACATGAACCAACTATTATTATAATGTAATTCACTATACCACAATACGACCACACTAGCAAAGCTAAACCAGTGCTGTTAAGCATTGAACACCCTATTTTATCCCCAGTTAACACACTCGTGTCTTACTCACAAACGCAATGGTTTAGCATGTATATAATGCACTGATATCTAGGAAATGTTATCCGCTGACATTATATTCTAAACGACAGTTACTGTTTAACCTTTACTTAACCAAAAAATGTGAGGCCTAATACTGTTACTGTTCAATCTTTACTTAACCAAAAAATATGCAAATTCCACCAAGTACCTCTATGTTACAAATGAATATAACACATGAGAGGATTGCCGTTGGGGTACCTCATAAACGGATGTAATCTGCAATTGCACAACAAAAAATAAATATAAAAAAAAAAAAATATTGATGTATTCGTCCTTTTCTAATGCAAGATACAATTAGCTTTCATCATTTCCTGACTTGACTATTGCAACTCACTACTTGGCCTTCCAAATATCTGCATTGCCCCTCTTCAGTCTTAATGGATGCTGCCACCAGGCTCATCTTCCTGACTGACCTCTACTCCAATACCTAACCCCATTGATTACATTTGCTTCCTGTACCTTTTAGGATCCAATTTAAATTCCGTTTGAGCAGGGCCTTCTTCAACTCATGTATATTGTATTCTACATCTCTTATATTATGTATACAAACTTCTTGTCATCTACCCCCATTCTATAATTGTAAACGTTGCAGAATATGTTGGTGCTATATAAATAATAATAATAATAATGTGTTTTTTAAAATTAAACTTGAAAGTACACCATTTTCACTATTTCTCTCTTTCACTTGTTATAGGAAATTAAAGTTCCGCTTTAATAAATATGTTTTTCAAAGTTGTTAAGAAACCTATTATTGAACAAAATAATAATTAGTTGTATTTTTGTGCAGGTCAGGTACAGTGTGGCCAGGTGCATTGCAGACTTCCCTACGCTGGCCCTCCGGTGCACCTCAAAACTGACATGGAAGCAACACTGTCCAACAGAGGTGACAAGGTAGGTGAGTGGAAAGCTGCTGACAATTATAACTTGTGGCTTATGGAGGGTAATTACACCATAGCCAGTATTTGTACTATGAACTATATATCTTTAATAAAATATGCACAGAAAATTATTTTTGGATTGTCCCTGTTTTATATTTAAAAAAAGTGCTATGGATACAAAGACAAAAGTAGAGCAAACCTGTAAAAAAGGTGTATTCCACTAATAGGCTCTAATAAATTTCCGAACAAAAATGTTAGATATGCATTTTCATCAGTTAAATAGTGAATTGGTGATAAATGTAATTGCACTCAGTGTTATGTTATCATATCAGCGTGCTCTAAAAACACCCCTGAATAATTGTTTTAAAAATTACAATTGTCATAAATTATATTTTCTGTGCTGATTTTCTAATTACAATTTTTAACGGTATTGTATTCTCTATTTTATTTTTGGTGTTAAGGCACCACATGTGAAAAAAATATGAAGGATTATCATTCTTGAAATTTTTAGATACATGGTTCTCTTGTATAATTATTAAAAGCAATCATTCTAGATTCATGCAGGGTTATACCTTTTTTTTTATAAGGAATAGTTTTGAACAATCAAAGTCATGCAGGTCCAGAAAATATTTACAGATATGTGCAAGTGTTCACTCATTTGATGAAAGTCTTTAATCCAAATGTGAAATCTTCTACTAACAATAATATGTTTCTCCTGGTAGGTCATCCTTTTTCAGTACTGAACAGCAGAATATTATGTCATTGGTGAAAGCTCGCAACCACCCACACCAGGACCATGAAATGCATATTGGAGCCAAATGCAGCTTGGTAGACAGTCAGCTCTCCAGTCCTTAGACTTACCCAGACAAGTCCATTCTATGGTAGGGATGCTGGGTTTACTTTGAAATGAGGAGCTGGTTCTCTGGTTCTTAAATAATGACAATGACGCAATGACTGAGTATAATTTCAGTGATTCATACTGTCGGATTGTTCACAGAATTAATTTTCTTCTACTGCATTTGTGGTGATGGCAATTTCTTACAAAAATCAAGTGCCCTCTTCAGCCCAAAAATGTTAAGCATCAAAATACTTATAAATCTTCAATGTTGCATGACATGGCAGGACAAAATGTACAAGATGTGTGATGAATGTCCCTTTAATGTACATTGGATTTATATACTGACTATTGCATTGCAAAGCCTCAAATTATGATCAAAATGTGCAACAACATGATATGGAAATATTGGTCTAGCTCTTGTACAAGCTATGATAACCTGCATAACATCATAATATCATGTTATGAAAATTGCTTCATATTTGCTCTCTTTCTTCTGTTTCTAGAATGTCTTATCTGGTCATATTATAGTTATCCAATGGAGATAAACTTTACAAAGCAATTTAAAGAGCTCTCTCACAAGATCCCTTACAAATCCACTCAGTACTTTCATATGTTCAACTGCTCTTACTGAAATAATTTTTCTTCAAGGGATAATACCAATCTATTAATGGTTAATAACAAATGAATGCATTGTAGTGTCATTTCTGTTTCTGATAGGTGCCAGTGTGCATAAAAGTATGTATTTGACTATTGTGTTATTTGACTGAAGTCAATGAGGTTGGGTTGATCCACTTGTGTAGACTGAAGTGTCAAAAGCCATTTAAAGATAAAATGATGTTGTGAAGCAACAGAGAACATATCCGATAAGGAAGAAACAGGCTACATAGCATTATCATTCATTTTACACACTCTTCTGCCTACAACTGCTACATAATAAATATAAAAGCTTTTATTTACATGTGTTTTGTTTCACATGCATCTCTTCTATTAAATTTGACCAGACACTTAGTTTTCCATAGAGATTATCAGGCAGGGTTAGTTACTAAACTATGAATTATCATTAATAAACAAAAGAATTCTCAAAATAGGAAACACAGCTGATTGAGAGAATTCTTACAATTGACCAATTTTGGCCTCAAGTTCTTTTGTGAGAGTTTACTGAATAACCCTGAAGCCCATCTTGCCTGCAAGACTATTGTTATTACAAACACTAGTTTACTACATTAATATACTGTGGGTACACAGTGTATAATTAGGGTTACCAGATTACAGATGACCATGTTTTATATATATATATATATATATATATATATATATATATCACTTTAACAGTGCTCTCATTACTGCAAGGGATTCTGGTAGGCGTATGCAAATGAGCTAAACAAAAACCACATGAGTTCATTTGCATACGCCTACCAGAATCCCTTGCAGTAGGAGAGCACTGTTAAAGTGAGATTTCTTATGGCTTGACTGGTGTGTGTATTTGTGTTTAGCAATGTATTAACTATCCACTTACTTCAGATGGAAAATTTTTCATCTACAATTTTTTTCCCCACCACAACTCTATATATAAATATAAAATAATGTAGGTTTGTGTATGAAGAGGAGCTCCTGAAATGTTCAATGTAATGTTGTGATGTCATTTAACTGAGCCTTTGTCAAGCTGGGGTGATAGACCACACAAAAAACGTTGTGAACCAAATTAATTTTCATTTACTATAGTTAATTTTACTCTTTTAAGCACTATTAAAGCATTAAAATTTCAGACAGTTATTTCATTAATTCTGTAGAACTATAATCCATGGCCATCTAACATGTACTTAAAGGCACACTCCAGACCCCTAAAGCACTTTAGCTTGCTGAAATGCATTATGTGTGAATACTGCATCCTCTTGTTATCATTTTACAAAACGTGGAGATTTCAATAGACATTGGCACTTTTATAAAAGAACCTTCTTACATCCCCTTGTCTATTAATCAGACATCAGGTCCTGTTACTTCCTGTTTTCGTTAGCTCAGTCGAGCTAGTCTCAAGAGGCAGCAATTGCTCAGAGCACCTGCCTTGCAAGCACTTCTGATTGAGCTGCATTGGGAAGTCTGTGATTGGACAGCCACAGAAAGTCTGGGCGGGGTTAGAAGGGGGCTTGCAAAGACTGCAGGCAAATGATCTACAGCTTTTACCGACTGTTTTAGATATACCTCCAATTAAAAAAAATTATTATTTTTTTTTATATTTGGGCAGTGGAGTGTCCATTTAAAACAAAATACATATAAATAGTAGTTTATTCGAGAATGCTTGTTTTGTAATTACAACTTACATTATAAAGTTTTACAAGTGCATTTGGGGTTACGTGGAACACGTGTTGTGTTCTGAAAAGTTGTGCAAACGTGTACAATTGGTGGATACTATATATTCCATAATAAAAACATTCATATTTTATGAATGTATAAAACAAATTCCACAAAAAAAGGAACCAATAATCGCCCTGCTTGAAGTCACTTCTATGTTTGATACAACTGTAAAAGCTGTTTTTGTGAAAGGCTTAGAGGAAGTTTAAAGTGTTTAGAATGCTGGTGGGAAATCACTTCTGAAATAATTTTTTTTTTTTTGTGTGTGTGAGAAGGATACAGCAATGCACTTGTCAAACCATATAAACACTATATATGCTGTAAACTGTAACTCCCATCAGTCTCTGGAAGGCTGACAACAATTAGAGCTATAATACACAGCATCATGGGAGGTTGCTAGGCACATACGAAGTTTAACCCCTTTGGTGTAAGTCCACATCCGGCATCGTGATTGCGGCTTCATTAGTCAGTCTGAAAGACGTCCCAACTGGCTAATATTAATTGTGCTCATATTTCTATGAACAGAATATAGTTTGTTGTCTGACAGCAGTCATCTGACGCTCTTAAACAATGAATGGCTGGCAGGACTGGCATTTGGATATTATAATAGCCAGTAAGAGAGGGCCCTCGTCATGCTTGGCAAAACTAGGTGTGAGAGCAAAAACGCTTTGCCCCATTAACAGGAAACAGGGCCAGGGTACTCCTCGGATAATAACCACTACATCTGGCTATTGTGTTTATGGTGCTTAGGTTATTAACGAGGAACAGTCACTTCCAAGGGTTTTTAATAAGATCTCTACTTATGCCCCGTTATTTAACAAAATATGTGTTTGTGAGGACTGGAACCGAAAATTGAATGTAGAAATCTATACAGCTGCATTTAGCTCTATCCTGGAAATGAGTGCTTCCCTGCCAATCATTGTTATCAGCTCTGTCCTTTTCAGTCACGGAACATAGCATGTGGAGGAAGAGAAACAGAAACAATGTGGAATATGTATGGGGAATAAATACAATTAAAACAATGGGAGATATTTTGTATTCTGTTAAAAAAAAAATTGGTGGAATTAACTCTGCTCCACAACATTTACATTCTATATTTTGGTATATTTGTGCAGCGTAAGTGAGCAGTAAGTTGATGCTTTTATGAGAAATTAAAGGAGCACTATAGGGTCAGGAACTCAAACATGTATTCCTGACCCTATAGGGTTAAAACCATTATCTAGCCCACTTGACCCCCTTTGCCTCCCTAAATATAGTAAAATCTTACTTGTATTAAAGTCTGAAGCTGCTGCCTCTGCCTGTGAACTTCCTCTGACCTCTGACATCATCAGAAGTGGTGGCCTGATCCAATCACAATGCTTCCCCATAGGATTGGCTGAGACTGACAAGGAGGCAGATCAGGGGCAGAGCCAGCACAATTCAAACACAGCCCTGGCCAATCAGCAGGATCTCTAACCATCTAAGGAGTGGTCAGTGAAGTTATCACTAGGCTGTAATGTAAACACTGCCTTTTCTCTGAAAAGACAGTGTTTACAGCAAAAAGCCTGAAGGTAATGATTCTACTTACCAGAACAAATTCAATACGCTGTAGTTGTTCTGGTGACTATACTGTCCCTTTAAATGACCACTCTAAGAATTATAGTCACTTCATATAATTTATTATTTTCTTTCCTAATAAGACTTTGAACTCTAGAGCTTATTCTCTATACAGTGAACAGTAGTGAATTAAAAATGCAGTTATATTTCTCATATAGCATCTTTTAAAAAACTATTTGTTTGATATTCCTGAATAACGTATTTACACCTGCAACCCTTGGCAGTTAACGAGTGATTGGCAAATGAAGTTGCAGGGAGGCTGATTCTCATAATCACTTCTCATTAGCATAATCATTTCACCTTTCCTGCACAAGTATATGACATAATTAGGTTCTTACATAATTATACTGTTTCTCTACTGATCTGCAATTTTGCTGTGGTGCCTCTAAGCCATGAAATGTAACAGACATTAAATTACTATTTAAAGGAATGTTTGCATGGGTTGGTTATAGTACAGTTTATAGACTTAAATATATGATACTCAATTTCTATGTGTGTGGTTTTTTTTTTTAATTAAGGATCCTACCCTTACATTGTGTGTTTTTTTTTTATTTATTTTTTATTGTGGTACATTATCCATGGGATCCAAATAAGTTTGGTTAATCACGTTATCACATGCAAACCAAAATAAGGCATCTTCAACTCCAAGGTTCAAGATGACCCAGAAATAAATTGCAAATAACTAGATCCCAACAGGGAAAGAAAGAAGTATCGCCTCAATCAGAATAAAATTTGCAGAGCACTTTATTGATTTGTAATAAAATCTGTCATAGAGGGGGGGAGGGGGATGAGATAGGATAGAGGATGCTTGCACATTTTGAGCCATTATGAGAATGCTTACTCATTTTGGGCCATACAGGCATTACCCCCAACAATTATAATAGTCATTCCACTAGCATGCATATCAGATAATTATAGAATTCAGTACAGCATAAAAAAGCAGTACAGCGTTCGTAGCTGTTATTTAAAGTTTTTTTTTTTTCTAAACTTCTTCATTGCCTAAATTGTATATAGATGGTTTTATTTTCATCTTGCAAAATAAAGTGAATATGCAAAGGATTAGATACCTTATTTTATAATTAAGAATTAAAATTCAGAGTCCAGAGAAACTATTTCTCTAATAAAGCTTATTTATGTCCCCTAGCCATCATCCCTCATCTCACAAAGAGAGTTAAGCACAACAGTGCAGGGATTAGCTCATTAGCTTCCAGTTATCATAATCGGACAAGGAGACATGGCGAGAGGCTTACCGCAGGCTCCAGGTAAGAAGTCAAACTATTCTAAAATGGTTTGATGACTTACAAAGGTGGGAAGCGGGCATCATGGCTCTCCTGGTAGGATGCTTTGAGTCTTACTTTAAAGAAGTAAGATTGCACTAAACTTAAATTATGCTGTAAAATATTAATAAAGTATATGAAATGTTTCACGTAAGACAGGTACAGAATATAAAATTGCAATTAAATCATTCTGTTCTAACCTGATGTAAAACATTTACATTTTCAGTGCTAAAAAGATATCACAGTTCATTGTTCACCCCTTTAACAATTAGGATTGTGTTTCTTATAAAGTCTATTACCATTTACTGTCAACATTAGTTTAGAATTCTCTGCAATTTCTGTTAAAAGGCAATCCACCTTAATATCAGATAATGTGCCATAACAATCATGATATCATTGGTGTTGCCTAACCCCTTCATGGGATTAATAGTGGGATTAATACAATTTTATTTTAGTGTACTATTTTGTTTTTATTACTTCTAATTATAATCATTATTAACTTTGGTTTATAAAGTTTACTTCTGAGACATTTTCTCTAAAAAAGATCAAACTGATATATTTAATTGAAACCTAACCGCTAAACAGCAACTTATGGAAACATGAAATCCCACTTTAACTGACATTTAGACAAGGATTTGTAAGTACCGTTTAAAGTCACTGCAACTCACAAGATTATTGAGCAATGTTTAAATTGTTTTGAATTTCTATTTTTCATACAAAATGGTCAAATTGAAAAAGTCAACTTTGTTTTCTGTTTGGATATTTTGACCTGCAATTTGAAATTTACTTTGAATTCCCAATAATTCATACTTTGATGACTTCCCCTGAGTTTGCTTTTTGCATACACCCCTAATGTATATCTTATTTGTTTGCTAACCCATTCAATGAGAGGCATCAGACATTTTTTTTTTTTGGCTTATATTTGCTTAACCCCATATTGACCCCAAAACTTGGGTGCATTAGTAAGCTCTCCTTTCTGTATTCAAGAATATTTTAAACGATGACTGGTGAATAGCAAAACAGATTTTATTTTTTAAACTATTACTATTCTTTACATATATGCATGATCCGGTTACCACTGGAAAAGCAAATAATGTATACGTAAGTGAAACAATTTTCTTCTTGATGTTGTGCAGGTGTGACTAGCCCCCCAAAAGAAGACAATGCAATCCTAGTAAATGCCAATCACTTTCTTTGCTTCAAGAAACCTCAGATTCCATAATGATTCATACAAACGTTAAGAGCAGTATGTAGAAGATGAAAACATTTCTTACAATATGATCAGACCCTGTTGGTGTGTTTATGTAAATATTTCCACAGATGTACCTGATGGCATCCGAGTATTGACTCATTTATCCTGGGATGTACACTGAATATAAAAATCAAGTTTTGTACAAATATCAGGAAAGTAACATATTTGGTTAAGAGCTGTAAGCTCACCAAATGATGGTTATCATGTGATCTGTTCTTGTCTAGAGTCTAGACCATAGAATTTTAAATTTCAATCCTTTGTACCTGACTGTGCAGGCTTTGCAATGTACTTCTATGATTACATGCCAAATGGCTTGAAAATGGACCTCATGTGAGGATATAAAAAACAAGTCCTGTTCTGTTGGATGGTCTTACAAAAGTATGTAATCAATTCACCATCACCAAGACATTCTTAAGCAGACTCTCTTATTGTGTGTTGCAGATTCTTGATTAACATTGCGTTAAGTAAAAAAGGAATGCTCCAAATGTACTATTTATTTATAAAAAAAAAAATGTGTAAGCACTTTTTTTAAGCAAATGTCTGTTTTGTTATATATACTTTAAATGTTGTGCATTGTAAAATGTCTTATTTGTTGTAATTAAATAAAGTTACCTTGAGTGGAAGTGCTGGCACTTAAATGAATGATATAGGTTTTTATTTAAATGAATCAAGTAACGTATGCAAGATTTTTTTTTTACATTTGAATAGATTACATTGCGTCCTTCTCTAAAATATACCTTTTATCAACAGAATACACATGCAAATGTCATGGGGAAGGTAAATTATCTTTAAAACACAGTATGCAAAACTGTATTGCTCCACAATTTATCCATGAAACAGTTTCCATAACAATTGTCATTTGTTCCTAACATCGGGCCATCCAGAAACCCACCAGAACGGCAGAATAAGTCTGTGTAATTTTTATACACGATGAACAGAACCAGATACTAAATATTATAGCTACATATGAAATTAAAAGTCGAACAGTAACACAGACCAAATGCCGTATGTTTTACAATACAATGGAACAAGCTAATATGCATTGCTAACAGGTTTGAATTAGTGGAATGGACTTTCAGTCATCCACCATTGCTGGTAAGCTATGAAATCATGTGTGTGGCGGACCGGCAGGCAAACCGACTCGGTACCTCCACCAATCGTGCTTTCTAGTTGTCACGAGTACCATAAGCACCGGACACTATAATCACTGTAGTCCCCTTAGCCGCCGCAGCTTGACTAGGGTCTCGCTGGCACTTCCAACCCTGGAGCAACACCTGCATCCAGCTCCCAGTGGGAAGACCTCTCCTCCAAGAGAGTAAAGCAGGTATAGCAAGTGATATAGCAGTATAGCTGTTCCCCCCACACATGAGCTGAGGCTTAATGCTGGGAGTAGTCTGTTTTATTCAGAGCCACACATGGCCTTTTATGCACAAACCCATGCAAGACACTTCTCACACAAAAACAACAGGGTAATCCCTCCCCTGTACCTGAGAAACAATTGAGTCTGGAACTGGGAGATGGGCTTTAGCTCAGTATAAGAAGGGTGGAGATGGGGGGAGGGACAAGTTTAGAACAGTGAAGGTATGTAATGTTGATAATTCACAAAAGTACAAATGACTCATGATACTAAATGTATGCTTACTAATGCAAGGAGCCTAAATAACAAAATGGGGGAAATAGAGGCAATCGCATACACTAAACAATATGACATAATAGGCATAACTGAAACATGGTGGGATAAGACACATGACTGGGCAGTAAACTTAAATGAGTACACACTATTTAGGAAGAACAGAAAAAACAGGAAAGGTGGTGGGGCATGTTTGTATGTCAACCATGAGTTAAAGCCAAATCTTAAGAAAGTAGAATGTGATGAGGAAAATGTGGAAGCTTTATGGGTAAATATCTGCTTGGGGCAAAAGAAGGGAAATCAACTATTGGTTGGGATATGTTATAAACCACCTAATGTTAATATTGACGAGGAACAACAGCTGTTTGAGCAAATTGAGAAAGCTGCAAATCTGGGTAACATTTTACCAGATAGAAAGGATGCTTGTCTGGACTTGGTTCTAACAAACAACGTTCATCTTTTGACCAACATTCAAGTAGGTGAGCACTTGGGAAATAGTGATCACAATATAGTGTCCTTTGAAATAAATTTTAAAAAAACAAAAGCACATGGGGTATACTAAAACATATTTTAAAAAGGCCATTTCTACAAGTTAAGGGCAGCTTTACAATACATTGACTGGCATAAACTCTTTAGAGAAAAGAACACTGAGGATAAATGGAACATCATCCAACAAATATTAGAAAGGTACATTTGGGTAATTAATATAAAAGAAACAAATTGAAACCAATGTGGCTTAGAAGAGAAGTAAAACAAGAGATTAGAAATAAGAAAAGGGCATTTAAATTGGACAAATCAGATGCATCATATAAAATATATAAGGAAGCCAATCATGCATGCAAAAAGGCGATTAGATTCTCTAAACTTCAAAATGAAAAAATGATAGCCAAAGAGAGCAAAACCAAACCCAAAGCATTCTTTAAGGGCATGAAATCTAAAAAAAATAAAAAATGAAAGTGTAGGTACACTAAAAACTGCAATAGGGGTGTTAATGAAGACCAGGAAGAGGACGAAATTTTAAATAACTATTTTTCCTCCATATATATTAAGGAAGAACCTATGGCAATAGATGTGCAAATGATTGCTGCTAAAAACTTGCAGAAAAATTGTAATTGGTTAACTCAAGACAAGGGGCTGCAGCAACTAAAGAAAGTTAATATAAACAAAGCTCCAGGGCCTGACGGTATTCATCCATGAGTACTTAAGGTACTTAACTAAGTGTAGAAATAAGTGAACCTCTGTTTTTAATCTTTCAAGATTCTTTTCTTTCAGGAAGTGTTCCGGAGGATTGGAGGAAAGCAGAAGTGGTTCCTATATTCAAAAAGGGTTCAAAATCCTTGCCTGGAAATTATAGACCTGTGAGCTTAACTTCTGTGGCTGGAAAAGTATTTGAAAGGTTATTAAGGGATAATATTCAAGAATTCCTTGAGAAGAACATGATTATCAGCAAAAATCAGCATGGTTTTATGAAGCACAGGTCATTTCAAACTAACTTGATTGCAATCTACGAAGAAGTAAGTAGAAGTATAGATCAGGGTGTTGCAGTGAATGTGATCTATTTGGATTTTGCCAAGGCATTTGATACAGTTCCACACAATAGATTTAAACTCAAAGAAATCAGTTAAGATGAAAATGCTTGTTCTTGGGTAGAACATTGGCTTAAAAATGGAGTACAAAGAGTTGTCATTAATGGCAAATTTTCAAGCTGGACAGAGGTGGCAAGTGGTGGCCCTCAGGGTTCTGTTCTTGGATCCCTTCTATTTAACAAGTTTATAAATGATCTTGAAAAAAGCATTAAAAGTCATGTTTCAGTGTTTTGCAGATGAAACAAACTCTGTAAAGTAATACAATGTGAGCAAGATATTATTTTGCTGCAGAGGGGTTTAGATAGACTGGGGGACTGGGCACTCAAATGGCACATGAAATTTAATGTTGAAAAATGCAAAGTTATGCACTTCGGCGTAAAGAATGCACAAGCAACGTATACCCTTAATGGAAGCAAATTAGGGATAACAACACACGAAAATTACTTGGGAATTGTTATATACAACAAACTATGCAACAATGTGCAATGTCAATCAGCAGTGGCTAAGGCCAGTAAGGTTTTGTCATGCATGAAAAAGGGCATTCATTCTCGGGATGAGAATATAATTTTGCCTCTTTATAACCCTGGTAAGATCACATATTGAATATGCTGTGCAATTTTGGGCACCTGTTCTAAAGAAGAATATTATGGATGGAACATATCAGCTATGAAGAAAGGTTAACAAATTTAAACCTCTTTAGTTTAGAAAAAGGTCGCCTGAGAAGGGATATGATAACATTATACAAATATATCCAGGGCCAATACAAACCAATGTTTGTAAATCTATTCACAAACCGGACTTTATATAGGACACGAGGTCATGCATTTAGACTGGAAGAAAGAAGATTTTGTCTAAGGCAAAGAACAACAAATATATAAATAAAAATAAATCTTATTCCCGCTAACACAGGCAGCAGTGTTTGGGCGTCAAGCTCATGGAACTAAAATCGGACATTGAAACTCCCGAACACCGCTGGACTACCATAATCGCCTGTGTTCGGTTATATACAACCTGGAGGGCAATGTTTGGTGGAATAATTCCCACAAATGAGGTGAACAAGCTACACGTTGTAATTATATGTTATGCTCTGTATTTTATGCACTTTTATACTCTCGAAAGAGACTGACCGTTAGCATTGATTTCATGGAACTGTTTTGGGAATAGGACCATGTGTGCGGTCGGTCAAATAATTGACTTCCATGAAAAAACAGAACCCCTGGACCGATCTGGGTGATGTTGATCGGGGCAATCAGGGGGTGTGAATTTTGTGGGTTTTCATGTGTTTTGGGGGTACTTTTGGCGTTGTCTGCAAAATATGTATTTTCTGTGCCTTGTGATAACTGAGTTTGTACATAGTTACATAGTTACATAGCTGAAAAGAGACTTGCTTCTATCAAGTTCAGCCTTCCTCACATGTTTTTGCTGTTGATCCAAAAGAAGGCAAAAAACCCAGTTTGAAGCACTTACAATTTTGCAATAAACTAGGAAAAAATTCCTTATTGACCCCAAAATGGCAGTCAGATATCTCCTTTGATCAAAAGATTAGACGTGCTCTCTCCCTGTCATGTAATGACTCTGTCTCATGAATAATACAATAAAGAATGATAAGTAAAAATGCAAAAAAATAAAAATTAATAAAAAGTAAAACGATCAATGATAAAAATATGTAAATATGTAAAAGAATTCTCTGATACAGTATATTGTATAAAATGATCCTTACATCCAGCCTTATATATTCACAGCTATTATGCACATTCTTTCACCAATATGCAAATTTGTAAAAGCACTTAAAAAGAGTTTAAAAGTATGTAAACTTATAACTATAAAGATACTGATCCAATATAGTTAAAATACAATACTTTATTAGAAAAGATGAAAACAAAAATTGATAAAATAAAATGAAATAAAAATAGTGCTTCCAGTCTTTCCCGTTACGAAACACAGAAGGAGTCAGTTGCGTACATACCAGGGTCGCAGGGGTCGCGGCTGCGACCGGGCCCGGCCCACCAGGGGGCCCGGCCGCCCCTGCGACCCGGTATGTACCCACAGGGCCAGCCTCTTCCCCTGGGGGGCCCAGGAGCCGGCCACCTCAGGGCCCCCCGAGGCTGGCCCTGCTGTCACACACACACTCCTGGGCGGGTGGCCGGTCGGGCAGGTAGGCGGGCGCGCGAGGGAGCACTCAGTGTTTCCTTTTCAGCTCCCTAGCGCACCGCACTGATACCGGAGCCGGAAGATGATGTCATCTTCCGGCGCCGGCATCCCTACACGGCGCGCGAGGGAGCTGAAAGGAAACACTGAGTGCTCCCTCGCGCGCCCGCCTGCCTGCCCGACCGCCAGGAGCCCAGCAGCACCACTGGACCCCAGGGAATCCCCCCAGCACTCCAAAAGGTAAGGAGGCTGGGGGGATTACATT